GGAACTGCTTAAGGGTGTTAAAAGAACAAATTGAAATTTATCCATTACCTTTTTAAGCAGGGATAGTGCTGAGTTTTCAAACATAGCTGGATTTTCCCTTGAAATTATTTCCTTAGTTCAAGCTGGCAGAATACTGCAAGCCTTATTCTGCAGCCATTTTATCTTACTTGCTCTTGCAACTAGTCCAAAATCTTCAGAGTAGTTTCTCTACCCATGACAAGCTGTTGTAAATTTTAGTTTTAGATTATGTATGTGTATTTAGATTATCTACATGCACATAGTTTATGTGGACTATTTCTGTAGACAGGGTTATCTAGTCATTGGTTTTTAATTCCCTGTGTCACTTTTCTTGGCTGAACTAAATTTCATTGAAAGTGTATTGTGTATCCAGTATTACTTTATTACTTTTACATTTCTTTATTCTTGAATCATGTAATCAAACTTAATAGACTATATAAGCACCTTCAAACAACCCCCTCCCCCTTCCACTCTTGTAAGAGTTTTATAATATTCTTATGTGCAATGCTTGTCGCCTTTTATTAATATTTCCATGCTACAGGCTTTTACTTCACAAAAAGTATTAAATACTGTACCTAATTTATATGATGTGAATATATTTCATATGTAGCAGCATACTAGTATCTAAAACTAGGAGTTCCCTTGTTTACCTGGAGTTGACTCCTATTACTGCCACTTGATTATGTGACCGTGTTTAATCTAGAAAGGGCCCTTTTTCCTCCTCTGTTTCAATGATTTGGGAAAGTCCAGCGATGATTACATTGTGATCTGTTGTTGGAGTTGTAGGACTGACCAGGCTTCCCCTCTTATAATTGCAAAATAGTCTTACGTCTCCATGTTTAAGCTCATTGTTAATTTTTTAATGTATACTCAGGTCTTCTGGGACCTTTGAATAAATGATCTGCTTTTTAAAATCAGAGTAAATGAGTTTTTCTTGTGTAAGTCATGTTTACTTTACTGAATTTGACACCTGAAGTATTTCGATACTAGAAAATCCCAGTGGGCGTATGATTCCTTTTAAATATGAAAGCTAGTTAAATTTAGGCAAACGAGGCTGAAAAGAATTACAAGAACCTGAGCAGAATAGCAACAGTGTATAAAAAAAGCAAAATTTTTTTTGCAAGACTCTTCATAGTGTTGCCAACATCTGGCATTAAAAAAAAACCCCAGGATTTTGGTTTTGGCTTTTCATTATTTTTTTTTTTTAAACACAATTTCTAGATACTTTTTAAAAGCTTTTTTGTGTGTTTGTTTAGATTGTGGGCATCTTTCAAAAAACGTGCACAAAATACTTTTTTTAATAGGAGGTCCATACATATCATCTGGCTTGTGGGTGGGACTTGAAGAGAAACATCAAATTGAGACCAAGAGCGCTACTGAGGCTTGGAGGCCATGTGCTTACTGTGGGAATATTCATCTTTGGGGTGCTGAGATATATCTCATTCCATGGCTTATGTGATGAACGTGCATTTTTAATTTACAAAACAGTTCATCTGAATATAGGAGATATACATATGACCTTTTTAAAAGTTAATTTTTGTTTTTAGAAGTGACCAAAAATGTTCAGTGTAGCATCACTTCAGTCTTTAGAATTGCTACTGAAAAGATTAAAAAAAAAATAAATAAATAAATAAAAAAATCTGGTTTCAACAGCCACTTAGTAGTAAAAACAGTGAGAAACTGGCATTCATTTCAGTGGCCTTTGGCTCTGGCTTCCAGAACCACCTGAGATGCTAGCTAGAAGTTTTGCAGGAGGTTTGAGGTTGGGCTGAAGCAGCCTCTGCTATTCAATTGGGATTACTTCTCTGGCTGCGTGGCAGCATCTCTGTACAGTGGCACCTTAGAGGGCTGCAGAGATTTGAGCTACCAGCCTTCAGGTGTTAGAAAGATGGATGTGACAAGTGATCAGATCTGGTAATTTAAATTGGGCCAATATGTAGTTGCCATTCTTCATTACCAGTTTACAATAACTTGACAAATTATTTTGTCCCTGGCCCTATCACAAAAGCACTTTCTTTAAATCCCATTTGCTAGTAAAGTCGTATGCCAGCCACAATTTTCACTGTTTCTTGACACTGCAATGAATAAGAACAACACTTTGTGTAATTGAGACGCAAATAAATTGCGATGTTTTGGTTGGAGAGGGGTGTGTGTAGAAGATCCACAGACTGTTTTTCTTCATACGTGAAAATCTGAATGTCCATCTGAAAATCTTTGGTACTGTGGTACTGGGGACCAAAGAAGGAACAAGAAAAAATGAGACTCTGTCTGTAAACGTGAACCTTTACAGGTGCAGGCACCTTCTGCTGCACTTACTTCTCTTTGGAAGGAGGCTACAGAGGAGCCAGATAGTCTGGAATTACACACATTTAACTTTAGACATATTCTAGATCTTTGTCTTCTCTCCTCCCCAACTAAATTCCCTAAGTCCTCCTTCTGCCTGATTTTCATTTAGCTCCTTGACTGAGGCTTTTTTTAATTCCTACTACATAGTGCTCAGTTTCAAGAGGAGTCTGAAGAGCAGGAGTGTGGTGTTCTCCAGCGTGCTGCATGGTGTAGTCCTCAGGTTCTGCTGTTGTGGAGAGGGGTGGGATTCTGATTTCCTTCTGGCTGTAAAGCTATACACGCTGGACTGTAGAGCCAAAGCAGGGCAGCGCTACAAACATAGCCCTGGGATTGGATAAAACCAGGACCTGTCTGATTTTCTCCACTTCCCCAGGAGAGTGGCACAGATGAGGTGCATTGCTGTCGAAGCTGTTAGTAGCACACTGGGGACGTGGATGCCCGTTTCCCTAGAAGGGGCAATTCAGGGCTATATGAATAAGTAAACCCCGCAGGCATTTTTGAGCTGGATGTGGAAACCTTAATGTGTGTAAGCACCTGCAGGGTTAGTCATTCCTGGAGGGCCGGTAGGCGGGATTTTTCTCTGGGAGTTCTGTGCATAAAACCTAAGTCTCATTATCGTCAGATTCAGCCTCACCCTGTGTCACTGCTGTAATAGTTAATCCATCAGGAAACATGAACCTTCGTTTTGTTTTCACTGGGGATTTAATTATCAAAGCTTTGAGGAGCAAGTTACAAGGATAGAATAGTTTTATAGTTGATTATATGTGAAATTTAAGCAGATCTGATGGATGAAGGAAAAGAAAGCTTACTCTGTTCTACGTTTCTTATTTGAAGGGAGTGGCTGAAGTTAATATTTTTCTTTCTTCTGAATGGCACATGTGAATTGTTCCTCAGCAGTTATGCCACAGTGTAAGCTTACATTGACCTTCCTATTCCATTTTCTAGCAATTTTTCGGTTATTCTGAGTTGAATTTGCAGTAACAAAAGTGGCTATGTGCAGAAATGTGCAGCTGAGTGTAAACGTGGGGTTTTTTTTACTTTTCTAAATGAAAATGTTTTGAAGCATAAATTGCGTGATAAAAATAACCATTTTTTTTCGAAGTGCTGAAGTTCTAATAGTCCGGAAAGTTGGAGCCGGGAGTCCCATTCAAACTGCTGTTCTCTGGGTGTCGACTCAATCACTGATTGTGTCTCGCAAGGCAAGGCTCAACGTTCTTTTTTCTCCATGCAAAATTGTAGTGGTTTGAGTTGTATTTTTGCATTATTTCTGAAGCATAAACAAGAGCAGATTTAAATAAAAGCAAGATTCTAAGATAAATGAATTTCAACGACCAAAAATACTTGGACCACAAAAAGAATGTATCTGGAAGGAACTTTTTTTTCCCCAGAATATTTTCTGACAGGCAGTAAAAAGACAAAAATGTTAAATAACCATATCCTGAAGGTGTTGTATGTAATTTTGAAAGGGATATGTAGTGCCTGGAAAGGTTTTGAAATTATGTTTATTAATAAATATTCTAAATCATAAGGTTTAGGGAGAAAATAGGCATAATAATGATAGGTAACCTGTAACTTGCAACAATGTTCTCTACCAGTAGAATATCTTGTAAATCTGTCCTTGTGAGGAACAGCAGCACTTGCTCAGACTAAAAATAATAGCAGGACCGTGTATCTTGGATCCCAAGAGAGTATTGGTGTTTTTGTAGACAGCAGACAGGAGAAAAAGGCATTTTGTCCTTTTTACCCCAAGTAATCCCACTGGAAAATTAAACATGTGCTATGAATTGATATCAACTCATGCCAGGTTACCTCCCTAAAGAGGGCTGCTGCAAACACTGTTGCTACATTTCTTGGACAGCAGTTTGATGGCTTGTGTGCACGATGGATATTTTATGCTGTATGCTACTGTGGAACAGTGTGCTACTGTCTGCCCTTTGGAGACCGCTGGTGAGGTGTGCCACAAATAACCGGGAACAGCAATTGCTTTAACCCTACGGAGAATCTCAAATACCTGCAAATTAAAAATGTTACTGAAATATTTCTGCATGCGTGTGTGTTTGGGAAAACTGTGTTGGTTTTGTTTTTCAAGGTTTAATCCTGCGAAACAGAGCAGTTCCTTTTGTCTTGCTGTGGATTCCTACTGAACACGGGATAAAAAAGTATTAAGCAATATATTAGCAAGAAATATTTGGAGAAACCACGAACCTTTTTTTAATGGACCACCCTATCCAGTTTCTGTTCTTTTAAGGAAGTTTTTCCTATTCATGACTCATTTCACTCTTTGGCTAACATCAAGGGAAATGGAATAACGATTAAGCAAAGGAATGTATGTTTTTTTCTGGTTTTGTCCTTTTTTCAAAACCTTTATGAATTTTCTGCATAACCTTGTGTAAATATATATGGATGTAGAAGCTTGACAACTGTGACAAGGTAAAAAGTACACTGCTAATACTTGCTTCTTAGTAATTTTTTCAAAATGTTCCTTTTGTTTCTACAAGTAAATGTTATGCTGGATACTCCAGACTCCCTATTCAGTTAAAATGACATGCTCCAGGCAGCCAATTACACAGAACTGTTAAGTGAAATTAATGAGATCACCCCCAGATTACACTTTGTGTTTTATTTTCATTTTATAGGTCTGTACGAGCTGCTGGCTGCATTGCCAGCCCAGCTGCAGCCACATGTGGACAGCCAGGAAGACCTGACCTTCCTCTGGGATATGTTTGGTGAAAAAAGCCTTCATTCACTGGTGAAGGTAAACCACATTTAAGTCAGATTCTCTTTGAGAAGAGTATATGGAAAAATGTTTTGAGCGCCATCTAGTAAACCAGAGATCAAACTGTTGCTCAGTGAAAACAAAACAGCCTTGTGTTAACTCTGTTTCTGTCAGGGGTGGAAGTTGTTAAATAAGATTCTACCAAAAATACGTAGATGATTTCATTTAAGAGTGATGTTTTGGCAGTGTAATGCTAATGCAGCAAACATATGTTGTTTGCCCTTGTTTAGAAAAAAGAGTACGCAATAGTAGCAGGAAATCTGAGACTTCTTTATGGTCAACATTCAAGACCTGGAGTTTAGCTTAAATAAATAAACGTTCATAGCAAAAATTAGAAGGAATATATTTTCTGAGGTCAAGTATGGCAACAGTTCAGTAGCCACATTAATTTAAAATAATTTCCTTTAACAAAGTCAACTGAAATTCTAGTAAGCTGTTTCTTTTATTGGCTTGCCTCCATTTAAAATTGTGTTTTGCACATAAATATGTTGGACTAAAGTACGACCTAAAATAAGTTTGGAAGAATACTTGAGTAAAGTGTCCTGCAATGAAAACGATCAGCAACAAGGAATCAAAGCATGCCATGGGAGTGTGCAGAGCTACCCTGATAATGTTAAAATTGCTTATAGCAGAAAAATGCAGCCAATCAGCTGGTTAGAAATGTTCCACTCCTACGAAGTGGTAAGTATGTCTTCAGTCTCCAGCACAGAGCTAATTCAAGCTGGAAGGAAATTCTGAGGTCTCAAATGAGTCAGTAGGTGGTAGTAACCTGTGCCGTGAATATATCCAGACTCACACATAATTGAGCAGAATTTGTTACCCTTGTCAAGTCATTGATCTAGAAGAAGCTTAAAATTGGGATTATTTCAATGTAGGTTTTAAGAGTCACCTTTTCCAATTTCTTTCAGCTATCTTATTCCAGAAGAGGGTGTAATAAAGTTGTACTTGTCCAAAATTGTTTTCAAATTGGCTGAGAATTTACATATAAAATAAACAGAAGTACTCTCTGGTGGTTGATACACAAAAGTAACAAACAGAGGAACAGTGCTTGGCAATAGTCTCTTGCCTAAAGAATTTCATCGAAGTTTCTGAAATGTGGTGATTTCCAGACTCCATACTGCTTTGCTGCAGCTGTCTGTTCAGGTGCCTAAGAAGATCACTGAAGGGGGAACACTGGTTTTGTTTCTACTACAGGCTGACAGTGGTGTGCATCTAAGCAAAATGCTAGGTCAGTAGCTAAATCAGTTTTCTTTCTGGATTGGGAGTTAAAGACGACTGGCTTGAAAGTAAGTGTTGATCTGCAAAATATTGACATTTCAATGTTTGCTCTAATTTTGTATTGAGGCAAAACCTAAACCTTTTCAAACTTCTTCATTTGCTCCTTTTTGCCCCTTCCCCCAAAATAAGACAAAGGTAGCACAACAGCAACTGGTTTACTCACCTTGAGTATACTCTCAGTTCGGAAAAGCTGGCTCTCCTAGTTGCATGCCCTAGTTTCCATGTTGTTTGTTATTGCAGGGTAGATCAGTCTTTTTGATTTTAACAAAAAAGAATTTGTGAGAAAGCTTTCTTGAGGCAGGTAGAAAGTTTGGGGGATCAGTGAATGGTCACTTTATTGCAGTTACAACAAGAAGGCATTGAAGTATTCCAATTATTGTTATTATTTATCTTGTTGGTTTTAGGTACAAGTATTAAATGTACATGTACTTCTGACTCTGCGAACATTTCTTTAATGTCCTATTAAGTCTCACACTGTCTTAAAATGCACTTAATTCTTGAAACTGCATCTTTCATGTTCACTAGTTGCGCTTTTGAATACACCATGCTAATTTCATTCAAAAGACAAAGTTTTTTAATTATAAGAAATGGGACTATTAAGAGCATCTGGTCTGACCCAGTGCATATGCCAGGCTGTTGAACATCACCTTTTGATTTCTGTGGTGTTCAGTTACAGAAAGTAGGGCATGAAGAGCTTTCAAAAGGTTATGTAGTTCATATCCCTGCCCCAAGATGGGCTTAACTGTATTTGAAACTCATGGTATTTGTTTGACCTTTAACACATTTTTTTAGCAGGATTATTCAGTATCATATCAAGTTTCAGAGAAGGCAGCCCATAGCCATTTTGGAAAAGAACTGTAAGAGCAAAAGAATGAACCCCATCTGCCATAGTTTTTCCCTGTTACAAGTTTTCAAAAGTGCCAAATCTTTCTTTCTGGGTTCTGGTGTCTTATTTGAAAGACTATTTTTCCTAGCAATAACTTCTTAAAGTCAACTGTACTCGCAGAGACAAATGTTTTTAATTCCTCAGGCAGAGAATGATGACAGATATTTTGTAATAAAAAAAAAGAACACAAAAAACCCCCTAGCTTAGAGCCAAGGATGTTGCGATCCTGGTATGTGTCGCTTTTGGAAGAAAATGAACATGGGTATACTACTAATTATGCACTAATATTTCTTTATTTAAGATAGACATACTGCTTAATAAAAATTTTGAAGCTGATCTTTTTACCTTACTGTTTAATAATTTCAAATATTAGAAAGAAGCTTTTTTTCTAAGTTATAAAATGCTTCAAATTACTTGAAAGGTTTAAGTATAAAGTGAACTTTCTAATTTTTTTACAGATATTCTAAGTTTTATGGGTATTTAATGATCATAGTGTTTTCTGTATGATTGTATACTATGGCGTATGGCTTGCTATTCTGGCTCTCTTAATATTAAAAAAAAAGAAGCAAGAAAAAAAAGGAAGCCCCAAACCTTGTCTTAAGAGTTCTCTTCATTCAGTATTGTTGGACAGAAATCTCTTTCTGAACTTGGATCAGCCTGAGCTGTTCTAAGAAGTCAGAAATGGAAAAGTTGTATTAGATCATACAGTCCATTTCCCTGCAAATACTGGATTGTTCCCTACAGTACATTCCTATTGTAGTAAGTAAAACCATCAAAAACTGATGCAACTGTTCTTGCTGTCCCTTTTCTCAATGAAGGAATCTGTTGATTAGATTTTAGTTTGCAAAGTATGGAGAAGAGGGAACCCACAACTGTTGTTGACAGTTTGGAAGAGAAAGCTGGCTCTGGATAGTTGCATGTTTAAAATTTGTCTCTGTTTCCCTCAATTTGTTACTTCCTTGTCTTATTATACGACTCTCTTTAAGTTCTACCAAAAATCTTCAGCCATCCCATTACTTTTTATGTAGCAGAGATCCCAGTAGTCTGTAGAGATTTATAGAAAAGAAACATGAAGAGATGATCCTTCAGGGTAATTATAAGCAGTAACATAGCTGAAACCTGAAATAGTACCCATGTGCTCTGCTTGGATTTTTTTTAGAGGAACAGAAGGGATAAATAAAGATCTGTTCTAACTACTCTTTTAGCTTATTTTTAGAGGAGCTGCAAGAATTTCCATGTGTGTTTGCTTGCTGTTAGCACACCGGACACGTTTTACTGTTTGTCTGGTTAGCTCCAGGATGAAGCTTCTACTTGCACCATCGCCTTAAGCATTTCTGGTTGTGGATGTAATGCTCAAGAATTGACTAAGCTTATCTGTTGGGCTGCAACCAAAGTATTTCTTAACCAATTGCAGTTTACTGATCGGTTTTGGCCAGCTCAGAGCATGTACAGTTCTTTAGCCAGTACTGTACTTTGCATTAGGAAGAAGAAGCCACAGCAAGTGGTGCTGCTGTTCCTCTTGACAGGGAAGAGTTTGTACATTCAAAAAGTAGTATGTGGCACTGGAAAAGAAAATAACTACTGCAAAAGTAAGGAATATTTGGTGAATCTAGTCTGATTTTATTGTAACTGCGTAGTATTTTGGTAGCTGGCCCTGCAAAATCTTGATTTGTGCTAATTTTCTATTAGTGTAACCTGGGTATGACTTGGCTTGAAGTTCTGAGAAATTATTTTCTGTGTGCTATTTTCATCCATGTCGGTGGCTAACAGCTTTTTCTAAGTAGTCTCATCTCCAAAAATGAAATAGTTGAGCGTATCATGGTGTAATTTCTTTGGCACGGAAATTGAACCAAATGATTATGTAGCCCAGATTTTACAATTGTTGGGGTATAGAAATATTGGAAATTTTCAGTGTGAAGACTAAGGTTTTTCAGTATGAAAATGTAGATACTTTCAGCCTACTGTGGTTCCCTTGTTGGTAATGAGAAAAATAAAGATAGGATTTATAAAAAATAAGCTGACTAGGACAAAGCAAAAGGGATTGATTTGATGCATCCTTACAGTATGTTCGCATCTGTTAAAAGAATGGTGAGGGGGGTTTCTGATTTCAGGGCAGACAAAAACAGCTATCTCAGAAGGAGCTCAGAGGAGTTGTGTTACCCAAGAGCAGCAAGGCTGGAAAATGCACTAGAAGAGAAAGTGGGGGTCAGTAAGTGGGACTGGGGATTGGTAGACCGTAGGTGGCACCTGACCTCAAATCAAACGGAGTGGGTGGGTTGTGGTTTCAGGAGAAAGCGTTGTAGAGTTGGAGACATGTACAGACCACCTTGGAGTGGGTGGAATTACTGAAACTGATAGCTCATTCACTGAGAAGTTGCTGTGATACTTGAAGTCCTTAAGGTTCTCTACTGCTGGGTTCTCAACCATATTTATTTTTAAAAAGCTGTGCCTCCCTGGTAAAGGGAATAGACTGCAGTTCTGTAAATTCATGTGGAGGTCTGAAGTGCTGTTTGCTTTGGAGATGGGAAAAAATGAAGGAAAAGGCGGTGTGAGTAAGCATTTACCACCTGGCCATCTGGAGGAGGAGGTGTGAGTGTGGTGGTTGGCAGCTGGTAACAATTCGTGGCCAATGAAAAATAATTGTTCTTCATGCTCTAGAGGAGAATGAGGCAAGGTTGCTTCTTACGTTATAGTTTATGTCTTTCAGTCAGAGAAAGCATGCAAAACCGACTGATGGCAAGAGTAAAGCGATCACTCTTGCCATGCACACTGTCCAAACAATCCACAGATGTGGTCTCTTGTGCAGGTTTGAAAA